GGTGTGGTGAGGGATTTAATTAAAGTGACGCATTGTGTTCATATTCTTTGGGTCTTTCAGTAAAGCCACATAGAAAAAATAATAATAAATAATAATAATAACAAACTAACAATAATACAAATTAAAATAACAATAATACAAATAATCATAACAATAGCACGACGTTTCGATCGCAGCACAAGCGATCGTCTTCGGGTGAAAAAACTACAGCAGGCGGATTTTTTTGGTCCATTGCCTGAAACGTCGCCTATGATAAATATTTAATTTCAAGGCCAAACCAAAGACAAAGATCCCCCGTGTAGCCTGTAACCAAAGGCTGTTCGTAGGGGCAAGTGCTGCAAGCGAGTTTGCCCCTACGGGGGCGACCAGCACTACGCCCGGCCGCCTTTGTCTCCCCAGTGATCGATCAAAATTGTCCCCCCCTCCCCCCCAGTAACATCAGTTCAATTCTAGATTTAAAGCTTTCGTGACTGCAACGATCCATACTCTTTGGTTCTATTCGGTAAAGTCACCTAGGTAAAAAATAAAACAGCAAAAAATCACGACGTTTCGGCCACAACACAAGGGGCCTTCATCAGGTGAAGGAATCAGGCTGATGAAGGCCGCTTGTGTCGTGGCCGAAACGTCGTGATTTTTGTTTTATATATTTTTTTACCTACGTGACTTTACCGAATAAAACCAAGGAGTAACATCAGTTCAGTTTTATTGATTTTGGTATCGATCCCTGTGAGCCATTCGGCTCTTGAATCGGAGTGCAACCACACACACACAACAACAAAAAACACGAACGAGATAAACATCTCCTTTGATTCTTTCGGTAAAGCCACCACCACCACGTAGAATGAGAATAAAATAATAAATTGATAAAATAAAATAATAATATTCTCACGACGTTTCGGCCACAACACAAGCAAGTTGTGGCCGAAAACGTCGTGAGAATTTATTAATTTATTCTCATTCTACGTGGTGGTGGTGACTTTACCGAAAGAACCAAAGAAAAAGATGAATCCTTGCAGTCACGAAAGCTTTAAATCGAAAAGAGAAACATCTTAAAGTGACTACGCGTGACTTCGCGCAAACAGAAGAAGAATCCATGCAAAAAAAAACCGGCAAAAATATTCCCGAAAAAAGTCACGGTGTATACCACCAACGCTGTGTGCGAAAAATCCCAGTGGGATGCAAAGTCAAACAACAGCCACAACAACAACAAGACAACTTAGATCAAGGCCGTCAGTCTAACTCCGTGCTACAACAAACACAAACGTCTCCAAACCCCCCCAAAAAACACGTTTTCGAAATCACCCAAAAAAATTAAAGCCATAATTGCAACGGTGATCATAGGGACTGTGACCGAATTTTTTTTGTTACAATAAACTGCATAAATAACGTGTAAATCACTATCCGTGGCGCTAACGTTTTTTTAAAAATAAATAACTAAATAAACGCAAACACCGCATAAAAATTAATAAGCAAATACGAACGGCGTTTGAAAGTAAATAAATAAATACAAATCGCCACTTCTTTCAAATGGTTCTTGCCGTGGGTTTTTTTCACACCTGATGATGGCTGTTTGTGTTACGGTTGAAACGTCGTGAGAATTTTTTTATTGTTTTATATATATATTTTTTATTTATATTCTCAGCTCTTTCGGTAAAGTCATCACGTTGAAGGTGAAACAATAAAATAATAAAAAAAATATATAAAAACACAATACAAAAAATTCTCACGACGTTTCGACCATAACACAAACGGTCGTCATCAGGTGATGATTACCGTTTGTGTTATATATTTTATTATATTTTTATTATTTTATTGTTTCCCTTTCAACGTGACTTTACCGAAAGAACCAAGAATATGTAAAGAGACCCTCCCCCCACCCCTCCTTCGCGTCGTCGTAACGGGAAACCATTGATCAGGACGCTCTAATTAATTAAAAATAATTTCACCCCTCCCGGCATCTAATTAATTAATCCTGAAAGTGGATTGCGGTGGTGTGACGTCACCGTCATGCAAATGAGGCTTCGCGTCAAACGGACACGCCCCCTCCCCCCGAGTTGTGGTGCCACGCCCCCTCCCCCCGAGTTCTGCCACGCCTCCTTTCCCCCCCACCACTCTGCTCCGCCCACTTTGCATGTGGGGGAGGGGCGTGGTGGTTAGTACCGCCCACGCTTTGTGTGCGCGGGTGGGTAAGGGGACGTCCATAAATGACGTCACGCACCTAGGTGGGGGGGTCAGACATTTGTGACGAAGTGTGACGAGCGGAGGGGGGGGTGAGAAATGTGACGTCACATCAAAATGCGCAACTTTAAATAAATATATTATTGTTATGACACTAATTGTTATAACAACATTAATTATTATAACAACGCTCCTACAACATCAGAGTGCAGCGCCACATTAAATACGCACTACAATGACAATAGTTTAAAGCGATTTGAAGCAGGTTTTATTTTCAAAATGGAAATATGGTTTTGGGGGTGGGGAGGGGCAGAGCTTTGTGACGTCATATTTGAGGGGGGTCTTTTTGTAACGCCGTGTGACGAGGGGTCAAAAATCGTCCAAAATCGCGTGACGTCATTGTGTGGAGTGGAGCGGTGGTGCAGCGGTTAGCGCTACGATCCCGGCTACGACCCATGTTCCATTTCCCGCTCGCGGCCACCACCAACACCTACCAGGTGACGATCGTCTGAACCGGTCCTGAGCCAACCTTGCGCTACTAGGTAGACTCGGCCTCAAATGATAACCCGGTGCGGTGTGCAGTAAACTTCGTCGCTGGGGGAGAGAAAGGCGGCCGGGCGTGGTGGTGCTGGCCACCCACCCTCTCGTGTGCCCACAAGTGCCGGTAGTCCTCATAGGTGCTGCTCGCTAACGTCACTTGCCCCTTACACGTCTGTGCAGGCTACACGGGGGATCTTTGTCTTTAATCGTGTGTGCGCCATCGGGTGCTGCTCGCTTGCACTAACAGTCTATTAAAGGGCTGTTCGGGACATCTTTGTGTGGAGCGTTGAAAGGCAATGAATATATATAACAGGCGACGTTTCGGGCAATGTCACTTGTTTACACTACGGGGTAGAAGATGGTTGCCTTCCCCCACGCAAGATGGCCGCCTCCCCCCACGCAAGATGGCTACCTCCCTCTACAATTAATGTCCTACCCCTCCACAAAGATCCAAAATAAATATTTTTTGTTTTGGGTTAAAGCACCAATTAGTAAGGTTTGTCACGTAAACAAAGGGTGCCAATGAGTTACTGCTTCGGCGCACCGGTGTGCTGGGACGTAAACCCACAACATTTACAATTTTGAGCATGACGTTTCGCTGGTGATGGCAACCAGCTTCACCGGGCGACGAAGATGGTCGCCTTCCCCTACAATTACAGAAAACGATGTTTTCCGATGCCCTCAACCCCTACCGATCCAATCAACCCCCGTAAGTTGTCCGCCTATTCTTACATTTGCAGTAAAACATTTGCCAATGCCTTCTCTGTTCCCCACCTAAGATGTCTGCTTGGGGGGGGGAAGGGAGGCTTTGACCGGTTGACGTCACTCCCCACCAGCCGAGGGTCAGGTGATGCCCCCCTCCCACACACCACTGCGGGCCCCGCTTATGGTGACAACCTCCCCCCCTTGCGTAAGATGTCCGCCTTCTCCCTTCCCCACCTAAGATGTCCGCTTCGCGGGAGATGCGGGGGGGGTCAGGGCTTTAACTGATTGACGTCACTTCCACCCCTCCTCGCGTTGTCACGTGACGTCCCCTCCCCCACCACTGCGGGCCTTAAACCTATGGGTGACAACCGACCCGCCCCTTACCTAAGATGGCCGCCTCCCTTCCCCACCTAAAGATGTCCGCTTGGCGGGAGATGCGGGGGGTGATGGGGGGGTTGCTTTAACCGGTTGACGTCACTTCCACCCCTCCTCGCGTTGTCACGTGACGTCCCCTCCCCCACCACTGCGGGCCTTAAACCTATGGGTGACAACCGACCCGCCCCTTACCTAAGATGGCCGCCTTCTCCCTTCCCCACCTAAAGATGTCCGCTTGGCGGGAGATGCGGGGGGTAAATGGGGGGGGGGGGTTGCTTTAACCGGTTGACGTCACTTCCACCCCTCCTCGCGCTGTCACGTGACGTCCCCTCCCCCACCACTGCGGGCCCCACCTTAAAGCGGCGCGACCCGGGGCGCTGGTGGGCTGCTGGCCGTTGATTTTTTTGCGTTGCTATTTAACGAACGCGATATTAACAAACACATTAAAAACCGTCTTATTTAAACGTAAACTCACGCACTAATTTTTTTTAAAAAAATATATATATAATAAGTAACGAGCGAACTTCGCTCGTTTTTTTTTGCTTCGGTTAAAGGCGGGCGCCGCTGTTTTAACACCTGTTTTTTTGTTTGTTTATAAACAATATATTTTTTTTAAAGACAAATAAAATTCAATATAATACAAATACAATTATAATTATTATTATTTTACCTCAGGCGAATCTCTGCGGCATCTGAGGAGGGCGGTCCGGGTGAGTGTTGTCGTATTCACGTTGTTTCTATATCGCCTGAGGCGTCGGGTTTTTTATTTTTTTTGTTTACAATGACGTCCCTGTTAAACGACGGGGTATATCGTTAATAGAACAGGTGTTAAGATCCCATAATTTTGTTATTTCTTTTGTGAGGGGCGTAAGTAAATGTTGTCGTGAACGGCCTACCCGCCACCCGACTCTGCTAATTTCTGTTAAGGTTTGTCGCGTTAACAGAACGTGCCAAATTCGTTATGAAACTTGTGTGGGAGAGAAAATCCACGCAACATTTACCATCTAAGGTACGACGTTTCGCCAGCGATTGCCGCTAGCTTCGTCAGGTAACTGGTGGTGCGTTGGAGAGAAAATCCACGCAACATTTACCATCTAAGGTACGACGTTTCGCCAGCGATTGCCGCTAGCTTCGTTAGGTAACTGGTGGTGCGTTGGAGAGAAAATCCACGCAACATTTACCATCTAAGGTACGACGTTTCGCCAGCGATTGCCGCTAGCTTCGTCAGGTAACTGGTGGTGCGTTGGAGAGAAAATCCACTCAACATTTACCATCTAAGGTACGACGTTTCGCCAGCGATTGCCGCTAGCTTCGTCAGGTAACTGGTGGTGCGTTGGAGAGAAAATCCACGCAACATTTACCATCTAAAGTACGACGTTTCGCCAGCGATTACCACTAGCTTCTGCAGGACATATACATGTTGCGTCGTGAAAGCCGCCGCCACCCGACTCTGCTAATTCGACGTTTCGCCAGCAAGTACCACTAGCCTCATCAGGAAATATAAATGTTGTGTCGTGAAAGCCGCCGCCACCCGACTCTGCTAATTCGACGTTTCGCCAGCAATTACCGCTAGCTTCTTCAGGTAACTGGTGGTGCGTTGGAGAGAAAATCCACTCAACATTTACCATCTAAAGTACGACGTTTCGCCAGCAATTACCGCTAGCTTCTTCAGGTAACTGGTGGTGCGTTGGAGAGAAAATCCACTCAACATTTACCATCTAAAGTACGACGTTTCGCCAGCGATTACCGCTAGCTTCATCAGGAAATTCGTTACTTGGTACAGCACTAACTGGTGGTGTGTTGTAGAGAAAATCCACTCAACATTAACCATCTAAAGTACGACGTTTCGCCAGCGATTACAACCAGCTTCATCAGGAAATATAAATGTTGTGTCGTGAAAGCCGCCGCCACCCGACTCTGCTAATTCGACGTTTCGCCAGCAATTACAACCAGGCGACCTAACCCGAAGCACCCATATTGTTGGATCATTATTGATCGCGAAAGCCGATTGATGTAATTGTATAATTTACGTACCAGCGAAACGTCACCGTACTTAGTGGGGGCCGTCCATTAAGTACGTTACGCATGGATAGGGGGCGAGGTAGGTTAACTTAAATTCGTACGCTTGCGTATTTGGTGGGGGTGGTGGTGTTGGTGGTGGTGGGGAGGGGTGTCTAATCTTCATTCGAAGCTTTCGTGACCGCAGGAATCCATCACACACTTTGGTTATTTCGGTAAAGTAAACGTGGGTAGAAATCAAAAATAATAATAATACATCACGACGTTTCGAGCGCAACGCGGGAAAAGATGGAATAGTTGTGGTGGAAAATCCTCCACGTAGAGGCGGTTCAATCTTGATTTGAAGATTCCGTGGCCGCTAGGAATCCATCATAATCTTTGGTTCTTTCGGTAAAGCCACGTGGGTGGAAAGAACATATTTTATATTATTCCTACCTACGTGACTTTGCCGAAAGAACCAAACGATATGGAGGATAGGAAACGTGGTGGGAGGTGGTGTGTGTGTGTGTTTGTGTGTGAAGCCTCGATAAGAATTTGTCTTCGTTGGCCTTCAAATGGGCCGTAGTTGAGTGTCTTCAGCTTGTCAGGCGAGACGACTTTACCTAGCGAGGTAGGGCTGTGGGTGAGGTGTCACTCGTGTGGCACCCTACACACTACCCCTGATTCAAGGCCCATGGAGTCTTCAACATTGGGATGGGACAAAAATCTTCCAGGGGGTCTGGGGGTGTTCCCCCCGCCCCCCCCCCCCCCAGAAGAAAATCTAAATTTGAAAACGAATTTCCTTTAAATTTTGATTGAAAGCTTTCGTGACTGCAGGGATTCATATTATTGGTTCTTTCGGTAAAGTCAACACCACCACGTAGAAGAGGAAGTAATACAATAATAAAAACATAAAACAATGAAATCCTCACGACGTTTCGACTGCAACACAAGCAGTCATCATCAGGTGTGAAAACCACAGCAAGAAAATTTGAAAAAAAACCCTCATTTCCTGCCTAAAATATAAACAAATTCACTAACAACATGGGATGGACTTAATAATGTCTAATAGCGTGTCGTATTTACATTGCTCTGTTTGGACTTTTGTTTTTATTATTGTTTCATTGTATGTAATGGCAGAGATTAGGGATGATTAAGTACAACCATAACCACAATCACATAAACAGAAATCTATGCATTGATTTACATGAAGACAGGTCCCATATATTGTGGGCAAGCTTTAGGAAATTGTTGTTTTTTTATTTACATAGCATAGCAATTATTTTTTTTTATATTGGCAATATATATTATACGACCAGCTGTACTACCCGGCTTCGCCCCGGGACTTTGATCCACCACGCGCGGCCGCCTTTGTCTCCCCAGTGGCGATGTTCACTACACACCGCAGCAGTTTCTCGTTTGAGGCCGAGTCGACCTAGGGGAGTGCCCAGGACCGGTTCAAATAATCGTCACCGGTGGTGGCCGTGAGCGGGAAGCGAACTCGGGTCGCCGGGTTCGTAGCGCGGCGTAGCGCTAACCGCTACCGCTACTGCTCCCCCACACACACACAGATACACACACAGATACACGCGCACAGATACACACACACAGGTACACGCGCACAGGTACACGCGCACAGGTACACGCGCACAGGTACACGCGCACAGATACACGCGCACAGATACACGCGCACAGATACACGCGCACAGATACACGCGCACAGATACACACGTGCACAGATACACGCGTGCACAGATACACGCGTGCACAGATACACGCGTGCACAGATACACGCGCGCACAGATACACACGCGCACAGATACACACACACACAGATACACACACACACAGATACACACACAGATACACACACACACAGATACACGCGCACAGACACACACACATACACACACAGATACACACACAGCGCGCTAACCGCTACGCTACAAAGCGTTACGCTTCCACACGCGCGGGTCACGTGACAGATTTGACGTCACGGCTCACTTAGCGTGCAAAAAAATCTATGCATTATTGAGCCCCCCCCAAAAAAAACTAAAGTGTATTTTTATAATTGTTGCATTGTGTACAGCAGTCTGGAAAGTAACCACATGGCAAATTTCCAAAACCATATTTCCATTTTGAAAATAAAAACGTGCTTCAAATCGATTTAAACTATTGTCATTGTAGTGCGTATTTAATGTGGCGCTGCACCCTGATGTTGTAGGAGTGCTTTTATGACAATTAGTGTTATAACAATTCTATATTTATTTAAAGTTGCGCATTTGTACGTGACGTCACACTTCTCAAACCCCCCCCCCGCCCGCTCGTCACACATCGTCACAAATGTCTGACCCCCCCCAGGTACGCTAATTAATTATTGAATGGAGCCGTCGGTGGACTCAGTTTGCTTGAGCACGTTCAGGTTTTATTTGAAGCTTTCGTGACTGCAGGGATGACTCGTTGGCTCTTTTGGTGAAGTCGCATAGAAATAAAATCATCTAAGTAATAGAATACGACGTTTCGATTTCAACACAAGCGATCGTCATCAGGTGTGTCTATGTTGTGTGTCTCGCTCTCTGTGTGTCTCCCTGTGTCTCTCTGTGTGTGTCTCTCTGTGTGTCTCTCTGTGTCTCTGTGTGTGTCTCTCTGTGTGTCTCTCTGTGTGTCTCTCTCTGTGTCTCTCTCTGTGTCTCTGTGTGTGTCTCTGTATGTGTCTATGTGTGTGTCTATGTTGTGTGTCTCGCTCTCTGTGTGTCTCCCTGTGTCTCTCTCTGTGTGTGTCTCTGTGTCTCTCTCTGTGTGTCTCTGTGTCTCTGTGTGTGTCTATGTTGTGTGTCTCGCTCTCTGTGTGTCTCCCTGTGTCTCTCTCTGTGTGTGTCTCTCTGTGTGTCTCTGTGTCTCTGTGTCTATGTGTGTGTCTATGTTGTGTGTCTCGCTCTCTGTGTCTCCCTGTGTGTCTCCCTGTGTGTCTCTCTCTGTGTCTCTGTGTGTGTCTCTCTGTGTCTCTGTGTGTGTCTCTGTATGTGTCTATGTGTGTGTCTATGTTGTGTGTCTCGCTCTCTGTGTGTCTCCCTGTGTCTCTCTCTGTGTGTGTCTCTGTGTCTCTCTCTGTGTGTCTCTGTGTCTCTGTGTGTGTCTATGTTGTGTGTCTCGCTCTCTGTGTGTCTCCCTGTGTCTCTCTCTGTGTGTGTCTCTCTGTGTGTCTCTGTGTCTCTATGTGTCTATGTGTGTGTCTATGTTGTGTGTCTCGCTCTCTGTGTGTCTCCCTGTGTGTCTCCCTGTGTGTCTCTCTCTGTGTCTCTGTGTGTGTCTCTGTGTGTCTATGTTGTGTGTCTCGCTCTCTGTGTGTCTCCCTGTGTCTCTGTGTGTGTCTCTGTGTGTGTCTCTGTGTCTCTCTCTGTGTGCCTCTCTCTGTGTGTGTCTCTGTGTGTGTCTCTGTGTGTCTCTCTTTGTGTCTCTGTGTGTGTCTCTGGGTGTGGGTTTCTCTGTGTCTCTGTGTGTCTCTCTGTGTCTCTCTCTGTGTCTCTGTGTGTGTCTCTGTGTGTGTCTGTGTGTGTCTCTGTGTGTCCCTCTCTGTGTGTCTCTCTGTCTCTGTCTCTGTGTGTGTCTCTGTGTGTGTCTATGTTGTGTGTCTCTCTCTCTGTCTCTCTCTGTGTCTCTGTGTGTCTCTCTCTGTCTCTCTCTCTGTCTCTCTCTGTGCCTCTGTGTGTCT